GTTTTATTTCTATATATTTTTTGCTATATTTCCAGTAGTCAGTTATCAAAATTAGGAAATGGAATTTTATGTTTGCTCAGGTATTGATTATCTCAGATGCTTTTGTTCTTTTTATAAACTGAAGTTTCTGCCTAGTGCTATTTTCATTCAGTATGAATAACTTCAATTCAGTGTGTCTTGTAGAAAAGATTTCCTGGTGATCAATTTTTTTTTTTCAGTTTTCATTGATCTGAAATTTTGTTTCATCCTCATAAATAAGGGTATTTTTTAGCTGAATCTCTAATTCTAGGACTTTTGAAAACATAATTCTTCCTGGTTTATTTCCAGTGAGAAGCCAGCTGCCACTGGGAGCCTCGTTCTCTTATATGTTTTGGGTTATGTTTTTTGTTTTCTGTTTTTTTTTTTTTTAAATCAATGACAACTTTGGAATTTGTTGCTGGTTTATTTATTTTATACCTTGCTTTGACATTTTGACTATGATATGCTTTGGTTCATTCTGTCTAATATTGGATTTTTAAAAAATCTTGAATAAGAACTATGATATTTTCCTTTAAATTGGAAACAGAATCTGGAAACAACCCAGATGTCCCTCAACTGAGAAATGGATACAGAAATTGTTGTACATTTACACAATGGAATACTAATCAGCAATTAAAAACAAGGAAATCATGAAGTTTGCAGGCAAATGGTGAAAACTAGAAAAGATCATCCTGAGTGAGGTATCCCAGAAGCAGAAAGACACATGGTATATACTCATGTATAAGTGGATATTAGACATATAGGATAAACATACTAAAATCTGTACTCCTAAAGAAGCTAAGCAAGAAAGAGGACCCCAGGTAAGATGCTCAATCCTCATTCCAAAACACAAACTGTCTGGACATTGGAAGAGGGAGAAAAGAGGGAACAAGACAAGAGCTTACCACAGAGGGCCTCTGAAAGACTGTCTAACAGGGTATCAAAGCAAATGCTGAGACTCATAGTCAAACTTTGGGCAGCGTGCAGGGAATCTTAGGAAGGAAGGGGGAGATAGAAATATTTGGAGGGGACAGTAGCTCCACAAGGAGAGCAATAGAACCAAAATATCTGAGTACAGGGGTCTCTTCTGAGACTGATACTCTAACCAAAGACCAGGCATGGAGATAACCTAGAACCCCTGCACATATGCAGCTCAGTGTCCAAATAGGTTCCCTAGTAAGCAGTGCAGGGGCTGTCTCTGACATGAACTCAGTGGCCAGCTCTTTGATCACCTCCCCTCAGTGGGGATGCAACCTTACCAGGCCACAGAGGAAGACAATGCAGCCAGTCCTGATGAGACCTGATAGGCTAGGGTCAGAGGGAAGGGGAAGAGGACCTCCTCTATCTGTGGACTTGGGGAGGCGCATGGGAGAAGATGAGGGAGGGCATGAGGAAGGATACAATGTGAATAAACTGCAGTTAATAAAAAAATGGAAATATTTTTTAGATATTATTTCCTGAAAATGTTTATTTCCACTCTACCCATCTCTGGAAACTCAAGTACATTTATGCTAGACCTTCTAATATTTTTTTACTGATAACTAAAACTATATAAAATTTTATTTTTTTATTTTTTTCTGAGTTATCTTAGATATTTTGTTCACCTGTTGATTTTTTTTAAAATTTTACATACTTATCTCACTATTCATGAGCCCCTACTTTTATCTTTTTTTTTTTTAAGACATTTATGAACAGGTGCTTGAAGTTTGTTGACTTTTTTTGAAAAAATCAAGTTGTAAACTTATTACAAATTAAAAATGAAGTTCTTAAAAATCTCAATTTGACCAGATATGAAACAATTTAAAAACCATTAAAGGTGTATTGAGAAAAACCAGGCCTTTTTTTTTTTTTTTTTTTTTTTAAAAAAAACACGTTTGTCATTACCAAAAAGAGACATCTTTAGGTAAAAATAATAAAAACCACATGCTGCATAGATAATGCAGATAGTTCTAGTGTATCTGGTCAACGGGCAAAAAGCAAGCACTTAGGTCTTCAGGTCCAATCTTTGTTCATTTCTCATTGCTGGAATTTCATATTCGTTTCTTCTTGTTGGATGACCAAACCGGATGATGGTAGAGATGGTAAGCTGGTGTTCGCTCAGTCCCACCTGCTCAGCCTCGGGAGCGGACGAATTCTCAGCTGGTGGATGGCTGCTTTTGTCTCTTTGCCATCTTGTGGTTTAGGGTTCTCTGGGCGTCTGTGTCGGTAATTGAAGTTGCGGCGATATCGACGTTGAGGTGGCTGCTGACCTTGGGTTTCACCTCCTTGATTTTCCTTGTCCTCTTCATTGCCATCCTCTCTAGGCTGTCTTTGGCGAGGAGGGCCCCTGCGGAATCGTGGTCTGTAACCCCGACACATGTTCTGTCTCACTGGTCTACCTTGCTCTCCTGCACGCTGGCTGTCAGCACCCTCCATCACTTCTCCTTTCACAGAAGGGTTGGAATACTGTGGTCGACGCCCATAGGGTCTCCGCATGTAGTAAGGTGGGAACCTTCGCCTGCAATAGGGCCGCTGGCACTGTTGGGCCTGGCCTTCAGGAGCGCTTTCCGATCCTTCGTTCTTTTCCCCACTCTCACTATTCTGGTAGTTTTGCTGGTAATTGCGTGGAGGACCCCTACGACGTGGATAGCGTCTATAACGGTTACGGTCTGCTGCGTATTTACTGCCTTGAACTGGAACTCCTCCAGGGCCTGCAACATTTGCTGCCTCGGCACCCTTTTCTCCTTCACCAACAACAAACTCCACAGTCTCTCCATCTCCTACACTGCGAAGGTACTTCCTGGGGTTATTCTTCTTTACGGCAGTCTGGTGTACAAATACCAGTCTTCCTTGGTGTCATTCCTGTTGATGAAACCGTATCCGTTCCTTACATTGAACCATTTTACTGTTCCCAAAACCTTCCTTGCGATGACCTTCTTGTCCGCTCCGCCGCCGCCCTCAGCGCCGCCGATGTGAGGCCGCCCGGGGCCGCCACTCACAGCGCCGCTGCCGGTGGAGCCGGGCTTGGTGTCGGCGCTGAGGGCGGCGGCGGGGGCGGGGGCCGCGGGCGGCTACTGGGTCTCGGCCTCGCTGCTCATGGTTGCGGTGATGGTGACTAGGCTGGCGGCGATGGCTGTGGCTCCTCCCGGGGTGGTGACTAGGCCGGCGCGCGGCGGTGGGGCTCTCAGGGCTCTCTGGGGTCCGCTCTCCGCTCCCGCTACCGATCGAACTCTACTTTTATCATTTTATCTAGCAGATATATTTCTATACCATAAATAACTAAATATTTCTTTACATACATGAATGTTCTTGTAATATACTTTTGAAATTTTTTATTTTCAGCAATTAATTTAGGGTCTGTTTCATTCATCACTTATTTCTTTTTCTTCATTATTATGGTTCATCTTTTTTCTATATCTTCAATATGCATAGCAAATTTTATGTACACTGGATGTTCCTCATGAATATAAACCTGTTATATAGGTAGTTTTCACGTATAAGGCAGGGTTCAATTCTGGTTAGTTCCCTTTCATATCTGGTTTAAATTTTTGTCAAAAAAAAGTCTATGAACTTATGAACTTAACTTATGAACCCAATATCTATCCTATGGTAGAACTTTTCTGGATTTCCAAGTGAAAGGCAGGATGGAATTGGGCCTTCTGCCTCTGGTGCAGTTTTGCCCGCCCATCGTATGACCACACGAGGCACAGCATAGCCAGAGAGGAGAGGCACAGAGATCCAGCGACCCTCCTGTTGGCAGTATATTTATGCTGACTCCTCTCCTCTGAGCACTTTGATTCACTGATTCTCCTTTCTCTATTTTTTAAAATGGGCTTATTAATAGCATTATTTTTAAATGATCTGTCATTACAGATGAGGGCGATTCTGCCCAGTAGGCACCCTGTTTTAAGGGACAGTCCATCCGTAAATGGAAAAGGATGAAGACACCGTAGCCTCTCCTCCTCACTCATTTCCTGTAGTTTAGATCAATGGCTCTCAAACTTCAGCCTGCATCCGAATTCCCTGGAGTGCTTGCTAAAACAGATTGTTGGGCCCCACTCCAGAGTTTTCGATTCAATAGGTTTGAGATGAGGCTGAGAATTTGCATTTTGGATCCAGTCCCAAGTGATGCTGATACCGCTAGTCTGAATGAAGCACTTTAAAGAACACTTGTTTAGATTCTCATCCCCAAAGGCAAATTACAATTACCAGAGAAGGCATTAACACGCCAATGCCTGGATCCATCATGGATCAATTGGAAGGGAATATTTTGGGCTTGAAACTGGAGATGAGTACTTTCCAAAAGTGTGGCCAGTCATGGTAATGCAGGGGCAAGGCCTGGAACCCACTCAGAGAAATGAAATGATGACCTAATAAAGTTTACTTGATCTCAGGAGTTGGAGAGAGATTTTTCTTTTCTCAACACATTCTTTTATTATATAAATTGAAGTCAATGCTTATGTACTTATTTCATGACATAAGTGAATAATCTTGGGCCAGCACAAATTTTCCCCTGTGTGGCAGTGATTGTGATTCAGGCTGATTACCTCAGTGTGAGCGATAGAACCCACAACGGTGGGAGGAGAGCATGGATTCCAGCAAGCGTTCTCTGCGCTCCACACGTGTACCCAGATAGCATTACACATGGCTCCAGAATTTCAGGGCAATTTAAATTTATTTGATTCTGCTAGCTGAGGTGTTTACATGATTATAAAATGTTTCTTTAAAACAGTTCTTTGATGATTTGGGACAGCTTCATTCTGTAAACCGTGCCATTCTGGACTCTGGGTCCAGAGTCTTAGATCAGAGCTGCAGGCCCCTCTGCCTAAGATGCTATTTTTAATATATATTATATATATATATATAGTGTGTGTGTGTTTGCTATTTTTAAAATTACTTTGCTTTTCTCTTCCTGGGTTTTTTTTTTTTTATTAGCATTGGCAGGAAGCAAAAGCATCTAGATGCTCAGTCCTAAATCCTTTGTTCTTAATCCCTCTCCACAGTGAGCGCTGCAGATATACTTTATATGGACACACGGACTCCGTGAACAGCATCGAGTTTTTCCCTTTCTCGAACACTCTTCTCACGGCTTCCGCAGACAAGACCTTGTCTGTGTGGGATGCACGAACAGTAAGCAAATCACCCGCCCTCTCCCCAAGTTAACTAGGTGTAAGACTTGGTAGCCACTCCTTAGTTAATGGGTACAACTTTAAAAGTAGTTAAAGGAACGTAGGATTGAAGTGAGTTCTTACATTGTGCGTGTGTGAGTTTATGAGTGAGTCTTTGTATGTATGTGAGTCTGTGAGTCTGTGTGTAAGTCTATGAGTGAGGTGTGTGTGTGTGTGTGTGTGTGTGTGTGTGTGTGTGTGTACAGACACGTGTCTATGGAGCTTGGCACTATTCTATTGCATGTACATGGAGGTCAGAGGACACCTTTTCAGAGCTGTCCACCACTTACACCATGTGGGTTCGAGATTGAAACTTAGGTCCCCAGGTTTGGCTTACCCACTGGCCATCTCACTGTTCCCCAAGAAAGAACCTGCAGTAGAGAAAAGAGGAGATGGTACATAATTTTATAAAACACAGATTACAAAATTTGAAGAATAATAGGTTATGTTTTCACATTTGTTCTAGCAATATCTGATGAGAATTATAAGGAGATCCAATTGATTGCAAGACAAAGTGTTCCTAATTTTTGGTTCCTCAGCGGATGAGGAAAAACTTTTATTATTAAAATTATATAATTCAAATTGTAAGATAAATGAAAACATTAAAAAAAGTATCGATGTCAAATTCTGCATATAATAATGACAACTCTAATCAAACAGTGGTTTCGCCATGGCCACACTAGTTCTGGTGACTTCCTTCCTAAATGCTGAATTTATTTTAAAATAAAGTATAACAACTGCTTCCTACAAATCACTCATATTTAAAGCTCAAATTACATATGTTATTTTGCAGTTATGTGTCATATTTTGTCTGTACAATATGAATTTTTACTGGCGTTGATTCAGATGATTCATGAAATATTTAATATAAATGGATGTTTATAGTGAATATTATGAGGTGTTGAACGGGTGACCAGAATTGTCATTTCTTTCCTCCCTGTGAGAGTAAGAACTGTGTGATGAATTGACAAAGGTCCGGATGCTTGGTTTTTCACATCAACTTAGTCCTTGGTATTATTCTCCCTTATAATACTGAAAATTTATAAATTTCTTGATAAATGATAAATTATCTAGGTATTCAGAAGGCCTGGAACCTAGGCAAGATAAATGACTTCCTTCTCTCTTTTATTTATTTTTTTTGACTTCCTTCTCTTATTTGAGAAGTAGTAACATTTTACTTTTGTCACCTCAATATGATCAATTACTCCTGAGGCACCTTTAAAATATTTTTGATGAAATAGGAAGATGCCTAGTGGATCACATTTCCACAAATTAGTTTTAAGTTTCCTTTCCCACCGTCAAACATATACTAGTCTTAAGTCATGAACTCACCACAGAGCCTTATTATTACAGATAATGAATGTGGAGATGTCTTAAGTCAGTCTCCCAATCAACAAGACACATCCACTCTGAATTCTGTGGGGGATGAGGAGTGTGATATAAATCTTTATAATTATGAGATACAGATCATAAAGGACTTTGGAAACTCACAAAATTGCTGTTTTACAGGCCTGCATGTCTTTTTTTCCCCTCAAAGTTATAAAACAATAAAACTATTTTATTAAAATTGAAAACTAAGATTCTTTTCCTGTCAGAAAATGATATATTTTATAGCAAGCTTAATGAAACATGATGATGCCTTCCTTAAAAATCAGCATAAGAAAATCCCCATCCATGAGCAGATTAAAGGACTCTTTTTAAAACAAATGCAGTGAGGAGTTTCACTCATTCCCTACCCCAATGAGAATATGAAAGCTACTGGCGTTTTTTTAAGGCAAAAAATGTTTCTACTGGACAGTTGTATAAACAACAAAAGGCCAGCCAGGCGCAGTTCTGGGCTGTGTCAGAGAGGAGCTGCCAGTGGTCAATGTGGCTGACATTTCCTCATTCAGTGAGGTTGTGTCATTCACAACCTGGATGACACCTGGCGGCCTTGATGTGACACTTTTTCAGAGTCAACCTGGTCCTGACTTAGCTTTAGCCAGAAGATTCAGAAATCCATCACTCTGAGCGCTTATGGAGTAGAGAAATCAAGAAGTCACAAAGGAGCTAACCTAACATACCCTGTTTGTGTGGCCCTTGTCATTGTCATAGTTCAAACCTCACTCTCCCAGGAAAGTTGGGTTTCATGGAGAGCTGTGTACTCTTAGACAAGTATCACGCTATTCAGAGCTTTGGGGACACATAACTGCCACCTCTTCTCCCTAGGTTGTATTTCTCATTCCTTTCCCTTTCCTCTTTCTTTCTTTCCTTCCTTCCTTCCTTCCTTCCTTCCTTCCTTCCTTCCTTCCTTC